GTATTACAAAGTTTTTAACGAGAAAGAATAACTAGTTTTAATTAAGAAAGGACTTGTATCGCTGAAGTTTCTCGGAAACAATTTTTTACGGGAAATGATCAAACAAGCAGATACACAACACAAAATTTAATGAAAGAATAAGTTAATTGGTTATCAATACGTGGGCCGTGTTTGACATTATTTTTACCAAATAACCTAAAAATACCCGCACTGCAATAGAACACGTTATAACAATATTAAAATTTTTACGTACTTTATTTGGCCGCAAAAAAATAAAATGTATACAAATGATGGGTGCATGAGTATTTGATGCAAACTTTCAAATGTAACAAGCTTCGTATGAAAACTAGCGAGTGTGAAACCTTTGTAGTTCTTAACACTATCCTGTACTAAGCAACAAACGAACTAAGACTGGTGTGATCAGAACTAGTAAACACCTTTTCTTATAAACCGAAAAGGAAATAAGTTCTCCGAGCCTAAATGTGATAACAACAACTTAGTCAATTGACGTCAGAACTACCTATACAGTATTATACGCGTTCTACGTGCTGAAGTCAAGGCCATTCCAACCTTGTCTTTTTAAAAACAAAAAGGGCCAAGTAAATATTTTCTATTACATTTGTTGTTTCTAGAAGGAATGTTAATATATGGCTGGCTACATGAGTATCATAAATGAATCATAATTTATATTAAAAAACTAATTTAAGTCACGATCGACTGTTGGTTATCTACTATTTCTGACCAAACTGTGAAATGTACCCCTAGTGGGTAATAAGGTAAAATTAAAATGTTTATTAATTTAAATATACTGGATATATCCCAAAGTCTTCCCCTTTGTTATTTTTTTACTGGCTACCAAACTCATATTTGATCGTTCACATGAGGCATGTTATGAGGATTTAGTAAATAGGTTCATAACTTTATGACTGGTTTCGTTTAAATTTCGCGCAAAGCTACACGAGGGCTAGCAGTCCCTAATTTAGCAGTGAAAGACTAGAGGGAATTTTTTGGCTACTCTTTTACAGTGGGATTGGCCACACATTATAACGCCCTCACGTCTGAAAGGGCGAGCATGTTTGGTAGGACGAGGGTTCGAACCCGCAACCCTCGGATTACGAGTCAACTGCTTTAACCACCTGGCCATGCCGGGCATATGTTACTAGACTTAAATCAGCTGAACAAAACTCTTCCCTCTGACCTTAGCTGAAAATTAGGACTGTTTGTAATTCCAGAGGTTATTTAAAATGATAGACTAGAGATAAGGAATCAAGACACCAACCACCACCCATTCGTGGGATACTTTCATCGAATAATGGCATCTGATTGTCACTCTCATAACACACCCAGAGGGCAAAGCGTTATTTTGTTGTTTGTAAAGGGAAATGGCTGCGGTCAGTGCCGAAGAAGAAATGCATACGTCTGTATTATGACTAGCCATTCAAATATTAGCTTTAATAACTCATATTGTAAAATTCCATAAGCTTCATCCACCCCTATTTAAAATTGTTTAGAAAATACGTTTGGTCTTCAAGTCTTAACAGCTGACGAAGCTCATTAGACCTTTCAAAATACGAATGTTTTTGCTTTTTCAATTCCAGGAAATCAAACTAAAATTGTTATTTAAAAGAAACAAGTCATAATGAAGCAAAAAAAAAAATGAAATATACTTCGTAAACTTTACGTTACCATTAGGGGATCACTAACGAAGGTAAAAAAACGACAGAGTTCAGGCAACATCTTTAAAAAATGTTTTTCGAGTACTTTTTGAAAATTTCAGAATAATTGGTACGACTCGTCATTGTAATCGTTCGAATCCTCTACGAACTGACTATAATAATATTAATAATAATCAAATGAGACCACAGTTATCGAATATATAAAATTAAGGAACCATGAAAACAAAACTGATTTTTAAACTGAGTTATAAAATGTTGCCTGAATACCTATTTGTATTTTCGTATTCATGGGGGCCTGGCATGGCCAGGTGGTTAGGGCGCTTGGCTCGCAATCTGAAGGTCGTGGGTTCGAATACATATCCTACCAAACGTGCTCGCCCTTTCAGCCGTAGATTATTATAACAGACCGTTATAATGTGACGGTCAATCCCACTATTCGTTGGTAAGAGAGTAGCCCAATAGTTAAGCTGCCTTCCCTCCAGTCTTTCACTGCTAAATTAGGGACGGCTAGCACAGATAGCCCTCGTATAGCTTTGCGCCAAATTCAAAATGTATTCATGGCAAAGTTACTAAGACTACCTGCCGCTGCCCTTAATTTTGAACTACTAACCAAGCAACAATCTAGCCCCCACCAATCACTTAAGGAATTGTCTGTTCCTCTTATAACGCACCCACGGCTTCAAAAGCGGGGATATCTTGTGTTAGCAGACGAGTTTTAAACCGGCTCATCAACTTCGAGTTCTTCGCTAGACCAACCCACGCCCATCTGAATAGCTGTAGTAGCATTTTCTTATTTTCTCTGTGCTGACAAAATATCGTCAGTATCTATCATAATAAAAGATCCTGTCTGTGTATGTGTGTGTGTGACGGCCATAGCTCCAAGAGGAAAGAACCTAGAGACCTGAAACTTTGCACGCACACCAAGGGGATTCTGAGGTTGTGCACCTAGGTATTATTATTTAGATTTGAGTCGAAAATTTTTTGCCCTTAACCCCATAATTTTGTTTCCTGAAGGTCTATAGAAAAGTACTATGTTTTGTTTTCTAATTCTTACTTACTGAATCAACAATATGTGGAAGTTTTCTGTCATATACTCTTTTTCAACACAAACATGGGGAGAAAAATCCAAATCCAAATGCCTGTTTGGAAATTTTCGTACTCGTTCTGTGGGTCTACTGACCACTACGTTCCGGAAATATATCCCTGTTATGTACCCGTCAGTCTGCTGTGGTTACAACACAAAATGTATCTTATAAAATAGTTTGTAATATAAAA